CGTTCAAAGGGTGTAACGGTGATATAATAATACGTTTTTTTAAATCGGATAAAAATTATGACCGAGATCTTTGGGTTATAAAGTTACATTTCAAGCTTCAACAAAATCGGATAAAAATTGTGACCTCTATAGGGTCCACAAGCTAAAAACGTGATTTTTCGTACAAACAGGTGCCATAATCCATGAAGTTTCCATCCGATACATGATAATATCGAAAGCAGCCGAGATCTTTTTGGGATAAACCTATATTTCAAGTTTCATTGAAATCGGATAAAAATTGTGACCTGTAGACTGTTCACAAGCAATTGTGGACGGGGGGACGTTCAGACGGACAGGGGCGACGACAATATACGTCCACATGAAAATGTGGGCGTATAAAAACAACTAAGTGACTACGTGTGATTTTATTCTTTGATCTTTGATACACGGGACATTTCTGTTATTCAAACCAGTCTGCACGAGAATTACAACATACAAGTTGACAGTTATCATTGATTTGGGGTTTATGTGGAATAGGCCCTCACTCAAAATACAGTTGTTCTTTTCTAAAATAAAACGAGTGCCTTGGATTTTTGTGTGGATTTGATAGCGGTTATAATTAACTAATATTCTCTTACATCGGAGACTTGTGTCGTGTTCATTTCGATTTTATGGAAAGTACAAGCTTATGTCCGATTTGAAAGCGCTTTCGAATCCCGTTGCAAGTTCAATTTGTCTTATTTCTATTTGTAAGACCGATAACCAAAATACCTTTATAGTTTGCAATTTAAAAATCTATCTTTGCCGTGATTTGAGAGTAATTCTTAACTATACTCTCTTAATACAGTAAACTGTGTAATACACGTATAGTCTTATGCATACTTGTCCTTCAAAGTGTACTAGACATGCAGCTTTACATGACTGGTTGGAAATGTAACCGCATATATCGTGCAGAATATGTGAACACGCATGTTCTCAGTATACAACGTGACCTAATGCGTCCGTATTATTAACGAAAATATTTAACATTCATATAACATCGTGCCATTATATCGTTTTGACATCAATTGTTTATGACAAATAAATACTGTTAAAATGGCATGTAAAATTAAACCGAGGCCTATCGTGTCACATGATAGGGACTGCTACACCGAGTTATTTATCGTGGCAATATCGTGGTGTTATCATGGCAATTTTCAACAAAAAACGACAAGATAATTGTGTTTCATCAAAGCGTCGTGGCGGCCATACTGTATTTGCTCGAAAAATTCATTCTTCCAGGTAAAATAGGTGGATGTTAAGCAGTCTTTAAGAAGGTCGATAATATTTTCTAGGCTGAGTTTACTTTTAGGTTGTGGTATTATTTCTTGGATTTTGGTCATGGTAAGATCTAATGCTTCCGGGGGTAAAGAGATTGATGACATCGTAACTTACTAGTTTACCATTGGTCTGGTTTTTCTTTGATCTTTCTGCAGAAATCTGAGGGCGACGACAATATACGTCCACATGAAAATGTGGGCGTATAAAAATAGTTTTTGCCTCACCATGGAAAAAGCCCTCTATAGGCGATTTTCATTTTTTGATATTTTGATGGACCTCTAAAATGCGATTTTTTGACCAATCAGGGGCCATAATCCAGGAAGCTACGTTCGGATATGTGTGATTATCAAAAAGAACCAAGATCTTTATGATAAAAACATATATTTAAGTTTCATCCAAATCGGATAAAAACTGTGGCTACTAGACGGTCCACAACCTTGATATACCATATTTTTACACTATTTCCGTCAGGTTTTTTTTTGATTTTCATGAAATTCGAACTCAACCATCATTAGTGTATAACTGTTATATACTACACGTTTTTTTTTTTAAATCGGATAAAAATTGTGACCTCTATGGGGACCACAAGCTCAAAACGCGATTTTTCGTAAAATCAACAGCCATAATTCAGAAAGTTACGATCCGATATACGCAAATATTGAAAGGAACCAAGATCTTTGGGTTATAAAGAGGCATTTCAAAATTGTGACCTCTAGGAGGTCCACAACCTTGATATACCAGATGTTCACACTATTTGCGTACAAGAGGCGACCATTTTGTCCGGCAGTTTTGGTCCGATTTCCACAAAATTCGAACTCAACCAAAATTACAGTGTAGCGGTGATATACCAAAATGTTTTTTAAAAATCGGATAAAAATTGTGACTTCTAGTGGGACCACAAGCTAAAAACACGATTTTTCGTACAATCAGGGGCAATAATTCAGGAAGTTACAATCCGATCTGCGCGAATATCGAAAGAAACCAAGATCTTTGGGTTATAATCATGGATTTCAAGTTTCATCAAAATTGGATCAAAATTGTGACCTCTGAGTGTCTACAGGCTAAAAACGTGATTTTTCGTACAATCAGGAGCCATAATCCATGAAGTTATGGTCCAATACATGCAAGTATCGAAAGGAACCAAGATCTCTGTGAGATAGACCTATATTTCAAATTTATTCAAAATCGGATCAAAATTGTGACCTGTAGAGTGTCCACAAACAAATTGTGGACGGAGGGACGGGGGCGACGACAATATATACGTCCACATGAAAATTGCGACTTTGGCGACAGACAGTGTGAGCCCTGGTTCATAGGATTTGTTCTATCGCTTTAACAGGCCAATTATTGAGAGAGAGAATCATTATTGACTGTTTTTTTTTTTAAATTACAGTATATCAATGACAATCATGGTAGGTATAGCCATCTTTCAGATCATATATTTAAACTAACACCAGCGGCTGCCAGGCAGGATACGCCCACATTTTCGAGAGATGGATAGAGAACAAGCTAAAAAGGAAGCGATTTTTCCTACAATCATTATTCAGAAAATTACAATATCGAAAGGAACCAAGATCTTTGGATTATAAACTTACATTTCAAGTTTCAACAAAATCGGATAAAAATTATGACCTCTATAGGGTCCACAACTTTAATATACCATATTTTTACGCACCCATCCTTAGGGTGTAACGGTGATATAATAACACGGTTTTTTAAATCGGATATAAATTATGACCTCTATAGGGTCCACAAGCTAAAAACGTGATTTTTTGTACAATCAGGGACCATAATTCAGGAAGTTACATTCTGATATGCGCAAATATCGAAAGGAACTGAGATCTTTGGGTTATAAACTTACATTTCAAGTTTCAACAAAATAGGATAAAAATTATGACCTCTATAGGGTCCACAACCTTGATATACCATATTTTTACGCTATTTGAGAACGAAGGGCGGCCATTTTGTCTGTCAGTTTTGGGTCGATTTTCAGGAAATTCGAACTCAGCCGTCCTTAAGGTGTAACGGTGTTATAATAATACATTTTTTTAAATCGGATAAAAATTATGACCTATATAGGGTCCAAAAGCTGAAAACATGATTTTTCGTACAATCAGGGAACATAATTCAGGAAGTTACGGTCCGATATGCGCGAATATCGAAATGAACCAAGATCTTTGGGTTATAAACTTACATTTCAAGTTTCAACAAAATCGGATAACCAGCGGCTGCCAGGCAGGATACGCCCACATTTTCGAGAGATGGATAGAGAACAAGCTAAAAAGAAAGCGATTTTTTGTACAATCAGGGGCCATAATTCAGGAAGTTACGGTCCGATATGCACGAATATCGAAAGGAACCGAGATCTTTGGATTATAAACTTACATTTCAAGTTTCAACAAAATCGGATAAAAATTGTGACCTCTATAGGGTCCACAACCTTGATATACCATATTTTTACGCTAATTGAGAACGAACAGCGGCCATTTTGTCTGTCAATTTTGGCGCGATTTTCACAAAATTCAAACTCAACTGTCCTTAGGGTGGAACGGTAATATAATAATATGTTTTTTTTAAATCGGATAAAAATTATGACCTCTAATGGGTCCACAAGCTAAAAACATGATTTTTCGTACAATCAGGGGCCATAATTCAGGAAGTTACGGTCCAATATGCGCGAATATCGAAAGGAACCGAGATCTTTGGATTATCAACTTAGATTTCAAGTTTCAACAAAATCGGATAAAAATTGTGACCTCTATAGTGTCCACAAGCTAAAAACGTGATTTTTCGTACAAACAGGGGCCATAATCCATGAAGTTTCGATCCGATAAATGCCAATATCGAAAGGAACCGAGATCTTTTGGAGATAAACCTATATTTCAAGTTTCGTCAAAATCGGATAAGAATTGTGACCTGTAGAGTGTCCACAACCAAATTGTGGACGGACGGACGGACAGGGGCGACGGCATAATACGTCCACATGAAAATGTGGGCGTATAAAAATCACATTTTTAGCTTGTGGTCCCTCTAGGGTCCACAACCTTGATATACCATATTTTTACGCTATTTGAGAACGAACGGCGGCCATTTTGTCTGTCAATTTTGGGCCGATTTTCATGAAATTCGAACTCATTCATCCTTATGGTGTAGCGGTGATATAATAATACTTTTTTTTAAATTGGATAAAAATTATGACCTTTATAGTGTCCACAAGCTAAAAACGTGATTTTTTGTACAATCAGGGGCCATAATTCAGGAAGTTACAGTCCGATATGCGCGAATATTGAAAGGAACTGAGATCTTTGGGTTATCAACTTACATTTCAAGTTTCAACAAAATCGGATAAAAATTGTGACCTCTATAGTGTCCACAAGCTAAAAACGTGATTTTTCGTACAAACAGGGGCCATAATCCATGAAGTTTCGATCCGATACATGCCAATATCGAAAGCAGCCGAGATATTTTGGAGATAAACCTATATTTCAAGTTTCGTCAAAATCGGATAAGAATTGTGACCTGTAGAGTGTCCACAAACAATTGTGGACGGACGGACGTCCAGACGGACAGGGGCGACGGCATAATACGTCCACATGAAAATGTGGGCGTATAAAAATTATGACCTCTATAGGGTCCACAACCTTGATATACCATATTTTTTCGCTATTTGAGAATGTGGGTGTATAACAAGGTAATCTTACCAGTGTTTTTGGTAAGAAGATGTCTTTTTCTTTCTTCATCCACCATTTTACGATAAAATTCATCACAAGGGTGATCCCAGATACTCTCACCAGTAGCAAAATTAAAATAATAAATATCCTTGTTCTGATCTTGGCTGTAAAACAGAAAACCAGCAGCTGCCAGGCAGGGTACGCCCACATTTTGCAAGAGATGGATAGAGAACAGGCTAAAAACAAATACGACTTTTTGTACAATCAGGGGCAATAATCCAGAAATTTATGGTTTGAAATGCAAAAATATCAAAAGGGACTGAGATCTTTGGGATATAAAGATATGTTTTAAGTTTCATCACAATCGGATAAAAACTGTGACCTCTAGAAGGTCCATAACCTTCGTATTACATACTTTTACACAATTTGCGTACAAAGAGAGGACATTTTGTTCGGCAGTTTCATTTCAATTTTCCAGAAATTCGAATTCAATCTTCATTATGGTGGAATGGTGATATATTTAAAAGGTTTTTAAAATCAAAAAAAAAAAATTGTGACTCTAGAGTATCCGCAAGCTAAAAATGCAATTTTTCAAACAATCAGGGGCCATAATCCAGGAAGTTACGTTCGGATATGTGCGATTATCAAAAGGAACCAAGATCTTAGTGTGTAATGGTGATATATTCATACGTTTTTTTTTCAAATCGGATAAAAATTGTGACCTCTAAAGCGACCACAGGCTAAAAACGTGATTTTTTGTAAAATCAAGGGCCATAATTCAGGAAGTTACGATCCGATATGAGCAAATATCGATAGAAACCATGATCTTTGGGTTATAAAGATGTATTTCAAGTTTCATCAAAACCAGATCAACATTGTGACCTCTAGAGGGTCCACAACCTTGATATACCAGATGTTTACATATTTGCATACGAGGGGCGGCCATTTTGTCTGGCAGTTTTGGCTCAATTTTCACGAAATTCAAACTCAACGAACATTACGGTGTAACAGTGATATTTTCAAACGTTTTTATAAATCGGATAATAATTGTGACCTCTAGAGGGACCACAAGCTAAAAATGTGATTTTTATACGCCCACATTTTCATGTGGACGTATTATGCCGTCGCCCCTGTCCGTCCGTCCGTCCACAATTTGGTTGTGGACACTCTACAGGTCACAATTCTTATCCGATTTTGACGAAACTTGAAATATAGGTTTATCTCCAAAAGATCTCGGTTCCTTTCGATATTGGCATTTATCGGATCGAAACTTCATGGATTATGGCCCCTGTTTGTACGAAAAATCACGTTTTTAGCTTGTGGACACTATAGAGGTCACAATTTTTATCCGATTTTGTTGAAACTTGAAATCTAAGTTGATAATCCAAAGATCTCGGTTCCTTTCGATATTCGCGCATATTGGACCGTAACTTCCTAAATTATGGCCCCTGATTGTACCAAAAATCGTGTTTTTAGCTTGTGGACCCTATAGAGGTCATAATTTTTATCCGATTTAAAAAAACGTTCAAGTATATCACCGTTAAACCCTATCAAGGCGGTGGACACTATAGAGGTCACAATTTTTATCCGATTTTGTTGAAACTTGAAATGTAAGTTTATAACCCAAAGATCTCGGTTCCTTTCGATATTTCGATATCAAGGTGGTGGACACTATAGAGGTCACAATTTTTATCCGATTTTGTTGAAACTTGAAATGTAAGTTTATAACCCAAAGATCTCGGTTCCTTTCGATATTCACGCATATCGAATTGTAATTTCCTGAATTATGGCCCTTGATTGTAGGAAAAATCACTTTCTTGTTAGCTTGTTCTCTATCCATCTCTCGAAAATGTGGGCGTATCCTGCCTGGCAGCCGCTGGTTTGTACAATCAGGGACCATAATTCAGGAAGTTACGATCCGATATGTGCGAATATAAAAAGGAACCAAGATCTTTTGGTTATAAATATGTATTTTAAGTTTTATAAAAATCAGATCAATATTGTGACCTCTAGAGGGTCCACAACCTTGATATACCAGATGTTTACACTATTTGCATACGAGGGGCGGAAAATTTTGTCTGGCAGTTTTGGCCCGATTTTCACAAAATTCAAACTCAACGAACATTACAGTGTAACAGTGATATTTTTAAACGTTTTTGTAAATCGGATAATAATTGTGACCTCTAGAGGGACCACAAGCTAAAAATGTGATTTTTCCGTACAATCAGGGACCATAATTCAGGAAGTTACGATCCGATATGTGCGAATATAAAAAGGAACAAAGATCTTTTGGTTATAAATATGTACTTTAAATTTCATCAAAATCGGATCAACATTGTGACCTCTAAAGGGTCCACAACCTTGATATACCAGATGTTTACACTATTTACGTACGAGGAGCAGCCATTTTGTCCGGCAGTTTTGGTCCATTTTTCACGAAATTCGAACTCAACCAACATTACGATGTAGCAGTGATATACTAAAATGTTTTTTTTTAAATCGGATAAAAATTGTGACCTCTATAGGGATCACAAGCCCAAAACGCGATTTTTCGTACAATCAACGGCCATAATTCAAAAAGTTACGATCTGTGATGTGTGAATATCGAAAGGAAGCAAGATCTTTGGGTTACAAAGGTGCATTTCAAGTTTCCTCAAAACCAGATCAAAATTGTGACCTCTAGGATGTCCACAACCTTGATTTACCAGATGTTCACACTATTTGCGGCCATTTTGTCCGGCAGTTTTAGTCCGATTTTCACGAAATTCAAACTCAACTGTCATTAAGGTGTAACGGTGATATATTCAAACGAATTTTTAAATTGGAATAAAAATGTTACCTACATAGGGTCCACAAGCTAAAAAACATGATTTTTCATAGAATCAGGGGCCATAATTCAGGAGGTTACGGTCCGATATGTGCAAAGGCGTTATATTACGTCCTACACACAGTGAGTGGCAGTTGTCCAGGACGTTATATAACGCCCTACGCACTTAACAGGTTAAAGCTGAACTCTGGTTACAAAAATACCGAAATAATAAAATAAAAAAAAGTCCACGCCCCCAAGCCGCCATACTTGTTTCCAATTTGTGAAATAAATATGGTGGACATAGAGGCTTATGACCTGGAAAGGTTAGCCGCTCTCACTTCCAGTTTGTTTCTTGTCAGTCAGCTGTACACATCCGGTGTTATTCTCTACACACGCTTCACTGATTGCTCTATTTTTCCCCAACAGTACACCAAATTATTGAAGATTGCAAAATGTCCGATCAGGTAAGCCTGTAAATAATTATATGAACTGCGTCTACTACTATATATAGCCTAAGCTTTACTCTAAAACAAAAGATGCAAAAAGATGGCTTACCTCAACCTGAAATTTTGAACCAAAACAAATCACCTACACAAACTTTTGTCTTCTTCATATTATTATTGCCACGTCTTCTTGTGAATATCTTACACATATGTAGAACACCAAAAAAGTTATCACAGCATAATGTCCAGTGAAAATCTAATCTAAACTATCTGTTTATTGCATAGTATTAGTTATAATTACATTGGACATTATGCTGCGATAACTTTTTTGGTAATTTACATATATGTGTAAGCTATCTTTTTGCATCTTTTGTTTTAGAGTAAAGCTTAGGCTATATAGTAGTAGACGCAGTTCATAAAATTATTTACAGGCTTACCTGATCAGACATCTTGCAATCTTCAATAATTTGGTATACTGTTGGGAAAAACTAGAGCAATCAGTGAAGCGAGTGTACAGAATAACACGGGATGTGTACAGCTGGCTGACAAGAAAAAAACTGGAAGTGAGATCGGCTAACCTTTCCAGGTCATAAGCCTCCATGTCCGCCATATTTATTTCACAAATTGGAAACAAGTATGGCGGCTTGGGGGTGTTAACTTTTTTTTATTTAATTATTTCGGTATTTTTATAAGCGGAGTTCAGCTTTAATTGTTTTACATGATAGCGTGTGCGAGTGCTATTATTTAGCAGATGATGTCACTGGCTCGATATCGTGAAGCGACGATCACTGCCAAAACAATTTCGGGATGTCTTTTTTTTTTACCTCCATCCGTATAGAAGTCAAAACGTAGTATAAGACGAATGCCGGATTTCTGCTGAAAAAAGTATCAACTCATACCCCGGAAAATCCGTTAATTTTGGAGGTGATCTTGAACAAAAGCATGGGTCGACAGTAGTCGGCACGCTTCCATTCTATCGTATTACGACAACACATAATTTTGTAGGAATATTAGATTACTGACACAAATTTGAATACTGTACGGGAATTAAATATGAACAAGAGCATCGCTAACGCAGCAATATACGTCCACATTCCTGTTTTGTTTGATATGGTCCAGTTTGCATTGAGGGTCTGTGAAATAAAACTGGGTTGTAGGACTGCTATCAGTATAACATTTCGTTCACATTAACAGAACACAATTTTTATTTTAAAACAATCGATGTCTTTATTCTAAAAGCATGACGGTTTTTTTTTGGTTTTTTTTGCTTGATTGATAACGATAAGAGAATACTTGTGGAAACGTCGTGCTTTTAGAATAAACTAGTGATTGTATCCCATAAAAACTGTGTTCTGTTAATTTGTTCCCTGATCGCTAAATGCCACTTAAAGAATAAAAATGAGTAGGCCTTAGAGTTGATGCCTGGGCCAAATTCCCTCATTCTCTTGGAGGGTGCAGAAAAGTAGGACGTTAGTATACCAAGTTTGAAGAAAATCCAGTAAGAATTGCGCCCTGTAGGCGACACAAAGACACACGAAAAGAAAATGGGCGTGGCTCTGCCCCTGGGGGTTGGGCATGCACCCCAAACGATAGGGATGTTCCTTAGGGTACAAAGAATGTGTATGCAAAGTTTCAAGATTATTAGTTAAGAAATGTGGCCTGTAGACGACAAACAAACAAATACTAGAAATGGGCGTGGCTCTGCCCCGGGGGGTCGGGCATGCACCAAAAACAATAGGGATCTTCCTTGGGGTATAAGGAATAAGTATACCAAGTTTGAAGAAAATCCATGAAGAATTGCGCCCTGTAGGCGAACCACAGACACACACACACACACACACACACACACACATACATACATACACACACACACACACACAGACAGGGGCGACGGCATAATACGTTCACATTATGAATGTGGACGTATAAAAATATTGAGGCGCACCTATTTTTTTTTTATTACGTACGAATTTGAATATTTTGTTGACACATTATTTTTAATTGTGGTCTGAAACTGCCTGCTTAAATAATAAGAGTTATGCCCCTTTATTTTCGGTAAAAATGTCCGACAAGAAAATTTTTGAAATCCCATCATTGCTCTAGAGCATCCACAAGATATTTCAAATTGATCTAGGACCATAACTCTGGCAGTAATTATTGGAAATCAATACACTTCTTTGTCTCATGACCTTAAACACTATGTATAATATTAAAGAGAGAGAGAGAGAGAAATGGGGTTTAACGTCCACTCGACACAAACTTGGTCATTTCAAGACTAACATATGTTTTTTAATTTTTTTCAATAATTCGCTTGCGCATAGGGGTCTTTAGCAGTGGGAGGAAACCGGAGGACCCAGAGAAAACCCACGAGGTTGGACAGGCGACCCTACTCCTTGTCATTTACAACCGGGGAATCGATTCCACGCCAGTTGAATCAATGACAGGCCTTATGATACAGCGCGCACATGCTAACCATTCGGCCATCCAACCCCAGATAATATAAAAATCAAATAATAACTTTAGTCGCTAGAGCGTCCACAAGATTTTTCAAAGCAATCAAGGACCATAACTCTGTCAGTAATTATTGGAAATCGTTGAAAATCTATAGGCTTCTTCGTCTCATGACCTAAAACATTGTGTATAAATTTAAAGTCAAAACAGAAATTAACTTTAGCCTCTAGAGCGTCCACAAGAAATTGTTGAAGCTGGACAAATAGACGGGGACGATGACAATATACAACCACATTTCAATGTGGGCGTACAAAATCACCATGCAAATTATTATCAATTTATTTTTATGTTCTTTCTTAGACGATGAACATTAAATTCATTTCATCGACTGATAATATATTATATTCGCATAGATAATCATGGGAGTCTAAGACTACAATTATTTTCTTGGTTCAGGTGACTGTTCCACCAAGTAATATAGCTGCAAAATAAGGTGTGGCATTTAAGGTCAAGTCCCATATAGTGTAGTGGTTTACGCAAGCACCCTACTGTTTACTAAAAGTACAATATGGCTGCAATAACACCGAAAATGATTACTTGTGTTGCATGTTTATTTGTTTGGAAACAAGTGTGAGCAAGTTATTGAAATCAGGTGGTAAAATCCATTAGGGTCACATGTGCTGTGTAGTGATTTAACTCATTTAAAAACTCTGTGTACCCTAAGGCCTAAACCACAAATACAGAATATTTGTTTCTATCTAAATACATGTACTTTATACTTTAAAGTCTTTTAATAACGATAACTCTGAGACATATTCTCGATTATCAAGTAACATTCTCAATGCCTCCAGTACCCTCGATTATCAGTCCTTTCATCGGCAGTCTCCGGTAGTGACGTCAGTGATTAATGGTAAATGTTAGCTTGGTTATCCATTTAATGATTTAATTATTAAATGGACGACTGTTAAAATCCAAGCTGTTTCTAAGCCATCTGAGGGTCTACGGAGTTGATTTTGGGCTGGTTATGTAAATAGAGGTCTAATTAATAATTTCTATAACATTTGAAGCCTATAGAAAGACTTGCAATAGGCATATTTAGCTCTTAACTAATGTATCTTTAATAATACATCCTGGTCTTTATGTGGAATTTGGGTTCATTATTTAATTTTCCACCTAATATCCACAGGCACTTGAAGGGATTAAAATAAAACTTCTTACTACTGTTTGACTAGTATTACTAATAACACAAGGTCAATCACCCACCATTTTGTTTTGAATCGTTGAAGATATTTCGTCTGCTATCGTCTCACAATACTCACTAGTTCTAACACTAGTTGCCAACGAGAATTTATTTGATCATTATACACATTCCAATGTAATTAAATTGGTCATTTTACAGCGTTATTAATTACAAATCAAACTTGAAGCGTGATCACTTGTCTATTCGTATCTTTGACGGACCGGAAGTAAGACGAAATGAGGTCAAAGGATTTCCCTATTGCTTTTGTTTGTAGCAGTCTGTATCACCCAGTCCCTATATTAACCTATCCGTTACTTAAAATTTGCCTAGGGACTGGGTGATCAAGACTGTACCGAAACAGAAACACGCATGTTTGTTGGTTGAAAAATGTCAGGCTTTTGAAGTTATAGAGTGGCACTAGACACCGTTTTTTACCTTGATTTTAAATATTTTAAATTCATTAGTCAATTTAAAAAAATAACAGTTTCTGAAAAATTGATGAAACAAATAATGAACGATGCTCGAAAAATCTATTATAGCAGATATCGACCGAAACCTGAGATGTCCGGTTTATTTCTTTATTTCGGGCACTTCATATTTGCCGACTAAAAGGCAAAATAGTTTTTTCCCCAAAAATATATTAATTTTTTACCACTTTACCTTTCTACCCAAGAGACATCCCCTTCCCCCCCCCTCCCCTCCCCCCCGTTGCAGAAATAAAATTGTTTATTTATAGATATCCACTTATTTGAACTTGATTCTAGAGTATTTGGCCTTTAACCCTTTGAACCCTGAAAATATTTTGGGTGACGCATACCCTACCCTGACTTTACAGCACGATTTTGCAAAAGTGACGTCATTTTAATTGGAACTAAATGTTAGGTGTGAATTTTATATTATATATGTTTATAATTGTGTGAAATGATGGAACAATGATATTTAAGCAGAAAATTTAACTTTTATTCAATTTTATCTTCAATCCATAAACTTGGGAGTTCCAATCATGCCAACAGTTTTTGAACTCTGCTAATATCCAATATTTCTATCACCGGCCATGTACTGTAGATCAACATTTCATTACAAACTGATTACATGTACGAGTATTATCATCGCTGTCATTTTCTTTGTTATTTTCTTCCGAATCTAGGGCATATTCACTTTTAAAATCGCTTCCATTGCCGTAATTCGACCCATCAATATCTTCGCCATTATCCCTCGTTATAAGAGTTAGTGCATCCGTTGCATTTAGTCGTTTAGAACAAACAATTCGACGAAAGATTTGGCAAAATTGAAATGTAAACAAGTGGAAGGAAGTCACTATTTACAACAGACCCGGGGCAAACGATAATTGGCGTTTTGATTGGCTATTTTGTTATTGTTAAGGAAGCGTGTCAGTAGACACGCCCACAAGCCGCAAAACCAACATTTCGGGTATATGCGCTACAACGTCAAAGCCGGTTTTGCGGCATTTCGGGTTCTAAGAGTTAAAGAAAAAGAAATTACAATGTACCATGGTTTCCAGTTTTCAGGTAAGGGGGCATTTATACCCTCTTTGGCAATATACAGTAAATGTTGTTCTGTTTTTAAATCAATACCAATTATTGTAGCGTACTCTAGCACCTCTGCAAAACATAACAATATAAGATGAGGTACAATACAATGCAATAATTACACGTAACTTCTAGATACTCAAAAAAGATAGCCCACTCAGCAACTATGTGTATGTTTCAACAGCAACTTATCACAAGCTTTTCTGGACACATAATATATCTCTGGAAAATAAAAGTCCCAGATTGCTGAAAATCAACAGGTACCAATTTGGAATAAATCCAATAAAGATAGGTTGCCAGGCAACGAAACACGCCCACAGCAGCTAAATCGTTCGGGAATGAAACATTTATAATACACTCAAATCTGATTAAGAGTAACAACTCATTAAGTAATTATCAGAAAATCATTAGAATTTGTTTGGTTTTTATAAAGTTCTGCCCCATGCTAACATTTAGTATACGAAACATTCATGGATTTAGCTGTTCAATTTATCAAAATTCATTGAAAATCGATATACTTGTTCGTCTCAAGACCTTAAACTCTGTGTATCAATCTGAAGTCAATCGGATTATAACTTTAGCCTCTAGAGTGTCACAAGATTTTTCAAAGTGATCACGGACCATAACTCTGGCAGTAATTATCGGGAATTGCTGAAAATCAACAGGCTTCCTCGACTCATGACCTTAAACACTGTGTATAAATTTAACGTCAATCGGATATTAACTTTAGCCTCTAGAGAATCCACAAGAGTTTTCAAGTTGATCAAGGGCCATAACTCTGGCAGTAATTATTGGAAATTGCTGAAAATCAATAGGCTTCTTCGTCTCATGACCTTAAACACTGTGTATAAATTTAAAGTTAATTGGATATTAAAGGTCAACGGAAAAGGTTCATAATTTTTTTAAATAATGCAAGTAATTATGTCAACATATCCTTTCCATAAGTATAACATTAGTAATTTCCGCCATTCTCCGTGGGTAGTCGTAACTTTCCGTAAATAAACAATCTGTGACGTCATTTAAGTCCTTCTGCTCATATTCTAGTCTATATTTCTATGTGCAGAAGGAGTCCTTCTGAAGGACTAAAATGACATCAAGGATTGCTTATTGACGGAAAGTTACGACTACCCATATGTTGACATAATTACTTGCATTATTTAAAAAAAAATTGATGCTTTTCCGGTGACCTTTAACTTTGGCCTCTAGAGTGTCCACAAGATTTTTTGAAGTGACCAAGGGCCGTAACTCTGGCAGTAATTATCAGAAATTGCTAAAAATCAATAGGCTTCTTCGTCTCATGACCTTAAACACTGTATAAATTTAAAGTCAATCGGATATTAACTTTAGCCTCTAGAGCGTCCACAATGACGGACGGGGGCGACGACAATATACGAAAAATGAAGGGGGGTGGGGGGTGTTAGTCCAGAATGAAATGTCCTGGAACACTGAATATCAAAAGGATTTGTCATCTGATGCCCCCAATACTTCCCACCAAATTTAAAATACATCTGTATCGTCTATCGATTAAAGGGACTATCCCGAATTGAACAGAGTCTCAAAAATAAAAGTCCGAGTACATATGAAATTTATGCACAAAAATATAGAGGAATCGTGTATTTACCCTGTTTCAAAATTTCAGCTCAAAATATTGAGTCATTTGGACAAGAACGTCAAAACTACTTATCCGGACACGTAACCCTTTTAAGATTTTGATTCAATTCTTTCGTTGGGAGACCTGATAATCGATTCCCGTTCCTTTAGAGGTTTATACAGTGAATGACCCATGTGCTGTACTTGATAACGAAAGGTAAATTTCACCTACACTTTATTTTTATAAAATAAAAGTCTGGTTTTATCCAGACACCGCATAATACAGCTTGGGACACCGGTCCCCACTTCCATATTAAGACTGGCGGGTTTAAGTTGTTTGAAAACGTATCACACAAAATTTACCAGTTTTATTCTCAAAAATATTATCGGTTGGCCCTTTAAACAAGCTTTTTGGCAAAGGGGAGGTACATGTAGCTTTTTTTTTTTTATAAAAAATATTTTTATTCAGGTTGTCTGAATGGGATTGGGGAACAGGCCTAGCCTATGTAAAACCCCTCTCCCTAAGGGGAGGTAGCTCTGGAAAGAAAGGTCGAACAGCACTGAAAATCCATAGGGTTCGTCCTCCCATGATCCGAATCTGATAAAAACTGTAGTCACTATTGTGTCGAGGTTTTTGGAAAAGGGGGGATAACTCAAGAACTACAAGTCATGGAGCGCTGAAAATCAATAGAATTAATCCTCTTATGACCCCAATTCTGAAATTTTGTTAAAAAATATGGCCTCTATCGCGTTAGCTGTTAACAAGCCAATTGTGGAATGACGGTTGGAAATGGCTGAGGACATAATACGCTGAAATGTGGGCGAATAAAAATGACAAAAACCTCAAATTTCGAGAGTTAGACAGAGCTGAAATACAATAGAACTAGGTTTGCCAGAAAAATCCTGTATGAAAACAAGTATAAACCACCGGCTGCCAGGCAGGATACGCCCACATTTTCGAGAGATGGATAGAGAACAAGCTAAAAATAAAGTGATTTTTCGTACAATCAGGGGCCATAATTCAGGAAGTTACAGTCCGATATGTGCTAATATCGAAAGAAACTGAGATCTTTGGGTTATAAACTTACATTTCAAGTTTTCACAAAATCGGATAAAAATTATGACCTCTATAGGGTCCACCACCTTGATATACCATATTTTCACGCTATTTGAGAACGAAGGGCGGCCATTTTGTCTGTCAGTTTTGGGCCGATTTTCATGAAATTCGAACTCAGTTGTCCTTAGGGTCTAACGGGGATATATTAATACGTTTTTATAAAATCGGATAAAAATTATGACCTCTATGGGCTCCACAAGCTAAAATCGCGATTTTTCGTACAATCAGTGGCCATAATTCAGGAAGCTACGTTCCGATATGTGCGAATATCGAAAGGAACCGAAATCTTTGGGTTATAAACTTACATTTCAAGTTTCATCCAAATTGGATTAAAATTGTGACCTCTGTAGGGTCCACAACCTTGATATACCATATTTTTACGCTATTTGAGAACGAAAGGCGGCCATTTTGTCTGTCAGTTTTGGGCCGATTTTCATGACATTCGAACTCAGCCATCCTTGGGATGTAACGGTGATATAATAAAACGTTTTTTTAAATCGGATAAAAATTATGACCTCTATAGGGTCCACAAGCTAAAAATGCAATTTTTCGTACAATCAGGGGCCATAATTCAGGAAGTTACGATCCGATATGCGCAAATATCGAAAGGAACCAAGATCTTTGGGTTATAAACTTACATTTCAAGTTTCAACAAAATCGGATAAAAATTGGGACCTCTATAGAGTCCACAACCTTGATATACCATATTTTTACGTTATTTGAGAAGGAACGGCGGCCATTTTGTCTGTCAGTTTTGGGCCGATTTTCCTGAAATTTGAACTCAGCTGTCCTTAGGGTTTAACGGTGATATAATAATACGGACGGACGGACAGGGGCGACGACAATATACGTTCACATGAAAATGTGGGCGTATAAAAAGGCGATTTTTCGTACAATCAGGGGCCATAATTCAGGAAGTTATGATCCGATATGCGCAAGTATCGAAAGGACCCAAAGTATTTGGGTTATAAACATGCATTTCAAGTTTCATCAAAATCGGATTAAAATTGTGACCTCTAGAGGGTTCACAACCTTGATATACCATATCTTTACACTATTCGCGTACAAGCAGCAGCCATTTTGTCCGTCAGTTTTGGTCCGATTTTCACGAAATTCGTACTCAACCAAAATTACGGTGTAGCAGTGATATATTTGAACGTTTTTTTATATCGGTTAATAAATGTGACCTCTGGAGGGACAACAAGCCAAAAACGTGATTTTTCGACCAAATTAGGGGCCATAATTCAGGAAGTTACGATCCGATATGCGCGAATATCAAAAGGAACCAAGACCGTTGAGTTATAAATATGCATTTCAAGTTTCATCAAAATTGGATCAAAATTGTGACCTCTAGAGTGTCCACAAGCTAAAAACGTGATTTTTCATACAATCAGGGGCCATAATCCATGAAGTTACGGTCCGATACATGCCAATATCGAAAGGAACCGAGATCTTTGGGTTATAAACTTAAATTTCAAGTTTCAACAAAATTGGATAAAAATTGTGACCTCTATAGGTTCCACAACCTTGATATACCGTATTTTTACGCTATTTGAGAATGAACGGCGGCCATTTTGTCTGTCAATTTTGGGCCGATTTTCATGAAATTCGAACTCAGTCGTCCTTAGGGTGTAACGGTGATATAATAATATGTTTTTTTAAATCGGATAAAAATTATGACCTCTATAGGGTCCACAAGCTAAAAACGCGATTTTTCGTACAATCAGGGGCCATAATTCAGGAAGTTACCGTCTGATATGCGCGAATATCGAAAGGTACCAAGATCTTTGGGTTATAAACATGCATTTCAAGTTTCATCAAAATCCGATCAAAATTGTGACCTCTAGAGTGTCCACAATCTAAAAACGTGATTTTTCGTACAATCAAGGGCCATAATCCATGAAGTTACGGTCCGATACATGCCAATATCGAAAGGAACCGAGATCTTAGGTAGATGAACCTATATTTCAAGTTTTGTTGAAATCGGATAAAAATTCTGACCTGTAGAGTGTCCACAAACAAATTGTGGACGGACAGACAGGGGCGACGGCATAATACGTCCACATGAAAATGTGGGCATATAAAAATGACTAATACAAACCATCAGGAGTAGGCTCGTAATTTTCATCATAATCCTCTTCAAGGATAACTTGATTATTGATCATCATATTGTGACAATTCACTGTTGTAGGTAGTATCAATAACACTCAATTTAAATTGACATATTTCACTATTCCCTTACAATAATCTGTAACATATAACAATCAGTATGGTTAGTAAATGAATTGAAAACTGTCTTTACAATTGTTTTTCCTCTGTAGTGCCTTTTGTTTTCCAAAAGTTACGATCCGATATGCGCGAATTTCGACAGATATATTTCATGTTTCATCAAAATCGGATCAAAATTGTGACGTCTAGAGAGTCCACAACCTTGATATAACATTTATTTACACTATCTGCATACAAGGTGCGGACATTTTGTCCAGCAGTTTTGATCTGATTTTCATGAAATTTGAACTCAACTGTCATTAGGGTGTAATGGTGAAATATTCAAACGTTTTTTTCAATCGGATAAAAATTGTGACCTCTAGAGGAACCACAAGCTAAAAACGTGATTTTTCGTACAATCAAGGGCCACTATACACTATTTGCATACGAGTTTTGGCCATTTTATCCGGCAGTTATGGTCCGATTTTTACGAAATTTGAACTCAACCATCATTAGGGTCCAACGGTGATATATTCAAACGTTTTTTTTAAATAGTCTCTAGAGGGACCACAAGCTAAAAATGTGATTTTTCGTACAGTCAAGAGCCATAATTCAGGAAGTTAAGGTCCGAAATATCCAAAATGCGTGAATATTGAAAGGAACCAAAATCTATCGGTAATAAATATGAATTTCAAGTTTCATCAAAATTGGATCAAAATTGTGGCCTCTAGAGGGTCCACAACCTTGATATACCATATATTTACATTATTTGCGTATAATGGGCGGCCATTTTGTCCGTCAATTTTAGTCCGATTTTCATGAAATTCAAATTCAGCCATCATCAGGGTGTAACGTTTTTTTTAAATCGGATAAAAATTGTTACCTCTAGAATGACCACAAGCTAAAAACGTAATTTTTCGTACAATCAAGGGTCATAATTTACGATCAGATATGTGCGAATTTTTAAAGGAACCAAGATCTTTGGGTTATAAACATCAAAATCAGATCAAAATTATGACCTCTAGAGGGTCCACAACCTTGATATACCATATTCTTACATTATTTGAGTACACGGTGCGGCCATTTTGTCTGTCAGTTTTGGTCCGATTTTCATAAAATTCGAAGTCAAGCATCAATACAATGTAACGGTGATATATTCAAATGTTTTTTTTTTAAATCGGATAATAATTGTGACCTCTAAAGGGACCAAAAGCTAAAAACGCGATTTTTACGTAAAATCAAGGGCCATAATTCAGGAAGTTACGATCCGATATGCGCGAATATCTAAAGGAACAAAGATCTTTGGGTTATAAACATGTATTTCAAGTTTCATCAAAATCGATCAAAATTATGACCTCTAGAGGATCCACAACCTTGATATACCATAATTTTACACAATTTGCATACAAGGGGTGGCCATTTTGTCTGGCAATTTTGGTCCGATTTCATGAAACTCACGGTGTAACGGTGATATATTCTAACGTTTTTTTAAATCGGATAATAATTGTGACCTCTAAAATAGAAAGGAACCAAGATATTTGGGATATAAACATGCATTTCAAATTTCATCAAAATCAGAGGACAATTGTAACCTCCAAAGGGTCCACAACCCTGATACACAACATTTTGACAATATTTGCGAACGAGGGGCGGCCATTTTGTCCGTCAGTTTCGATTTGATTTTTACGAAATTCACACTCAACCAACCTTAGGATGTAACGGTGATATATTCAAACGTTTTTTTAAATTGGATAAAAATTGTGACCTCTATGGGGTCCACAAGCTAACCAGCGGCTGCCAGGCAGGATACGCCCACATTTTCGAGAGATGGATAGAGAACAAGCTAAAAAGAAAGTGATTTTTCCCGCAATCAAGGGTCATAATTCAGGAAATTACAATTCGATATGCGCAAATATCGAAAGGAACCAAGATCTTTGGGTTATAAACTTATATTTCAAGTTTCAACAAAATCAGATAAAAATTGTGACCTCTATGGGGTCCACAACCTTGATATACCATATTTTTACGCTATTTGAGAACTATGGACGGCCATTTTGTCTGTCAGTTTTGGGCCGATTTTTATGAAATTCGAACTCAGCCGTCCTTAGGGTTTAACGGTGATATAATATTACGTTTTTTTAAATCGGATAAAAATTATGATCTCTATAAGGTCCACAAGTTAAAAACGCGATTTTTCGTACAATCAGGGGCCATAATTCAGGAAGTTACGTTCGGATATGCGCAAATTTTGAAAGGAACCGAGATCTTTGTGTTATGAGCATACATTTCAAGTTTAAACCAAATCGGATAAAAATTGTGACCTCTACAGTGTTCACAAGCTAAAAACGTGATTTTTTGAACATTCAGGGGCCATAATCCATGAAGTTACAGTCCGATACATGCCAATATCAAAAGGAAACGAGATCTTAGGGTGATAAACCTATATTTCAAGTTTCATTCAAATCGGATAAAAATTGTGACCTGTAGACTGTTCACAAACAATTGTGGACGGACGGACGGACAGGGGCGACGACAATATACGTCCACATGAAAATGTGGGTGTATAAAAACACAATTTTTCGTACAATCAGGGGCCATAATTCAGGAAGTTATGGTTCGATATGCCCGAATATCGAAAGGAACCAAGATCTGTGGGTTATAAACATGCATTTCAAGTTTCATCAAAATCAGATGAAAATTGTGACCTCCAGAGGGTCCACAACCCCGATAAGCAATATTTTGACACTATTTGCGAACAAGGGCCGGCCAATTTTTACAAAATTCGAGCTCAACCATCATTAGGGTGTAACAGTGATATATTCACACATTTTTTTTAAATCGGATAAAAATTGTGACCTCTATGGGGTCCACAAGCTAAAAATGCGAGTTTTCGTACAATCAGGGGCCATAATTCAGGAAGTTATGGTCTGATATGCGCGAATATCGAAAGGAACCGAGATCTGTGGGTTATAAACATACATTTCAAGTTTAAACCAAACCGGATAAAAATTGTGACCTCTACAGTGTTCACAAGCTGAAAACGCGATTTTTTATGTACAATCAGAGGCCATAATCCATGAAGTTACGGTTCAATACATGCCAATATCGAAAGGAACAGAGATCTTGGGGAGATAAAGCTATATTTCAAGTTTCGTTGAAATCGGATAAGAATTGTGACCTGTAGAGTGTTCACAAACAATTGTGGACAGACGGACGAACAGGGGCGACGACAATATACGTCCACATGAAAATATGGGTGTATAAAAATTTCTTCGACATTTAAGATGGTGTATCACCATCCCTGTTTGAGGTATCAAGTTCAAGTCGAGTTTTTCTTTGAAAATGAATAGTTCTCTCCATTTGAGAACACACTAAAAATGACACATGGTAGTGTTAGTCCAAGATATTATCTATCATTTTCAGAGACCCTGTTCAATAACATTTTCAATTGTTTCGTGCCATCTTGAATACTGTTTTCACAAACATTTTTTGTTTTGAAGCCTGACAAAATGGCAAAAATTCTCAATGAGTCAATTAAATTTTTAAAATTTCTATTTTGTTTGCTTTCGGTTCAAGTTTAAAATTTTTCTACTTTTGAAGACCCTACCATTTGGTGAGCTTATCATTTAGTGACGTTATGATGATCCTGACCTCAACTAACAACTTATATCAACAAGAGCATCGCTAATGCTGCAATATACGTCCACATTATTGCTTTGATTGATATGGTACTCTTTAAAATGAAGAGAATGAAATAGCTGTAATATGACAAAAGGCAAAGAAGGCTAGGCGTTGGGTTTGTCTGCCAAATTTGCAGACAAAATATTAACAAAAAAAGTGGGTGTGACACTGCCCCAGGAAGTCGAGGCATGCACCAAAATAAATAGTTGCTGTCTTTACGATTGTAAGGAATAAATATGCAAAGTTCCAAGATGATCCATTCAGAATTGCAGCCTGTAGACGTTGAATACAAAAATTGGGCGTGGCTCTGCCCCTGGGGGTTGGATATTGAACAATATAAATAGGTACCACCCTGTTATTGAAATGATTGATATGCTGAATTTGAACATAATATGTTAATTATTGCAACCTGTAGAGTATTTACCGATAAAAAAAAAAAATAACAAAAAAGTGGGTGTGGTATCCTTACAAGATAAGGAATAAATATGCCAAGTTCCAAGATGATCCATTTAGAATTCCAGCCTGTAGACAAAGAACACAAAAATTTGGCATGGCTCTGCCCCTGGGTGTGGGACATGGACCAAATATAGGTACAACCCTACGCTGGATCATTTCGAATTGCATCCAAATTTCCAAATTTGTTAATAATTGCAACCTGTATATCATTTACTGACAAAATCAACAAAAAGTGGGTGTGGCATCGCCGAAAGGGCAAGGGGTGGGGGTGGAGTAGGGGGGCGTGCACCAACATCAATAGTTGCGCTAAAGGAAAAAATTGGGCGTGGCTCTGCCCCTGGGAGCATTCACCAAAATCAAAAGTTGACGCCCTTAGGCTATAAGGAATACATATGCCAAGTACCAAGCTGATCCATTCAGAATTGCGGCCTGTAAACATCAAACCCAATAATTGGGCATGACTCTGCCCCTGGGGGTCGCGCACCAACATCAATTGTTGCCGTCCTTAGGGTATAAGGAATAAGTATACCAAGTTCCAAGATAATCCTTTCAGAATTGAGACCTTCGAGCGCTAAAGGCAAAAATTGGGCGTGGCTCTGCCCTTCGGGGCATTCACCAAAAGCAATAGTTGACGCCCTTAGGCTATAAAGAATACATATGCCATGTACCAAGTTGATCCATTCAGAATTGCGGCCTGTAAATGACAAACACAAAAATTGGGCATGGCTCTGCCCCTGGGGGTCAGGACATGCAGTTGTCGTCCTTAGGCTATAAGGAACACATATCCCAAGTTCAAAGACGATCCATTAAGAATCGTGGCAAGAGCATTGCTAACGCTGCAATATACGTCCACATTCAAGCTTTGATTGATATGGTACTTTTTAAAATGAAGAGAATGAAATA